TTCAGCTCTATAGCCAGTGCATTACCATGCCTGCAAACACAGCCCAGCAGAATGCTACTGAATTAAGTGTTTAATATTTGTATAATACATCAAGATATGTAAGATTAAGGATCCCACAGATTTGCTAACCAAAATAATATTATTCTGACATTGCATTCCTTCAGGAACAGACAAATGCTACAGTACATAATTGGGCTGATATCTCTTTAAATATAGATCATTAGAGCTCTCCTGAGATTCCCATCAGTGTCAGTAAATGTGTGTATAAAGAACTACTCATTTATCTTACAATACAAAACCCCATGCATATATCCACTATGATTATATATTCAGTACAATCTCTTTAATGTCAGTACATCAATGGTGTTTCAGTTGAGATTTAGTATTCATCGCCACATTCAGGCAAGTTTTGTCTTGCCTTCTTATCTCCCATACTTGATCTGTCTCTTTAAACTTGGCACTTCTAGCAACCTCTCCCAGCTAGGTTTTAAAAGTAGATTCTCCTCTCTGCTCAATAAGCAAGAGAACAGTATATAATTTCCTGTTTTCTGTACAACATCTGGCACTGTAGAAAGAACCACTGCAAATCTTACCAAGGCAGCAGAAAAAAATAGCTGAAAATCCTCCTGTATGGAAAACGGCTCTGCAGCACTGGCTATAAAACCTATTACATATTATATGGAGGTTAGCAGATTTCCTGGCAGAATATTGTAAAGTATGTGGGATTTGATTGCTGTATAGAAAGAGAGCACTGAGAGAAAGAGAGACACACAGAGAGAGAGAGAGAGAGAGAGAGAGAGAGAGAGGGAGAGCCTTCCACCAAACACTAAATATGAACCTCAATCTGCTTTTCTCTGCACTAAATAAAAAATGTCAAGAGAAATCTGGCAGGAGTCTATGCTTCCTAACGTTAATATTTTGAGTGACAGCCTACACAAAGCATTGCAAAATAATAACTTTCCTTATTTAATTGGCAAACAGGCTGAGGGTACAACATTTCCCAAAGCACCAGAATGACTTAAGCAACCAGGCTGCATTTACAGCAATGACTTGGGCATTTCAGAAACTACACTGCATTGACATTCAGTGACCTCAGGGACAGAATTTAAATACATTTAAGCATTCAGAAATGCAGTTATTTAAGTGCTGTGCCTCTTAACAATCCCACTGGAAGCACATGACAAGTTGGGGCTTCCATGTGAGGTTAAGAACACCTATCTTTATCAAGCCTCCAACTCCCGTAAGAGGGTTAGTAAATGATGATGACCCTCTATTCAAACACAGTCTTAAAAAGGGGAACCACAACGGCAATGACTGTACATGACAAGGGCAGGCAACTGCCAGCTAGGATGTACCAGGCATGATCTTACAGTGGTACTCGAAGCTTCATTCCATTATCCAAGGTATTTCATTCAGTTGTCCAAGCAGAAAGCAGATTGCCTGAATCACGGGCCAAGTGAGGCAAAAAGAAAACTTGTTTCCTGGCTGCTCACTGGTAGACAGCCCTTCCTCATGGACTCTGAAGAGCAAAAGTAGGATGAGGAGGCATTTGTCTTCCAGTGACTTTTAATTGCTTGAACTTTCACTGTTAATAAAGCAATGTTGCTTTCCAAACCTTTCCATAAAATTTTAGCTCTTCAGTCATCTGTCAACATTCATCTGTGACATACTCCTTGAAGATGTAAAGTCTTCAGGAGGAGTCTGGGAAGGGAGATATTGTCAGTGTCTGAAGTCAGAACTAGTCCATGGAGCCTAGATAATTGTCAGGTTGTTTACAGCCCATCTGCAAAAGCACTGCCTAACTAGGAATCAAATACCTACAAAAACCTGTCCTATGCATTTGTGGAAATAATAGGCAAAATTAACTTGGAATATTGCCATGCACTTACATAAGGTCATGGTATGCTGTGGTTACTTGTCGGTACTGATATTTATTCAAGTGGAATAAAGCGCTATTCATGAGCTAAAAGCCAACCCAATGTTTTATTCACAATTAAAATGCTTTTTCCAAAGAGGATGCGTTTTCCAAAGTGGTAAGCACTGGCCATTTCTGTTTCCTTTAATGTCAGAGGCAGATTCTAAAACAGCAACCCTAACTTCAACTGTTATGCTGCCTGTTCAGGGCAACCCCAGTCTGGCAAGCCAACACTGTCTCCCCGGGAGATGAATATAGCTAAGGGTAAGCAAGGAAGCTGGAACAAACACAGGAGCTTGGGTGCAAGGGTAACTAGGGGCTGACAAGGGTCTCCTGGCTATCTGCAAAACCTTTTCCCGTCGTGAATACAGTGGAGGGAAGCTGGAGAAATTCTGCTATGATAAACTATATTTCAGAAGTGCTCTGCACTGAGGATGGACAGGACCATCAGTGAAACACCAGTAGGAATTTTAATTACAATTGCATTATAACTAAAAACCTCTTGTCCAGCAGCTTTACAGGCACAATACATTCCTTGCAGGCCTCCATTCTGCCCAAATTCAGCACAACATACCTGGAGTTTAAACACTTTGGTTAGACCAATAATTTAATCTACCATGTGCATTTTTTCCTGAATACATTTGCACTGAGCTATTGCTGTTGATGCACACCATTACAATTTAAATTACAGGGGTACATGACACATAGAGCTGATATTGAGTACCAATTGTTAAAGAGGTACTATTGCATGTCTCATTATCATGCCATATGACCAACGCTAGAAATTTCCAGGAGGAGCAGCCCTATAAAGATGATGACAGCCAGTCCATTGTGTATGGGGCATTGCTATGCAACAGTAAGGTCAGTCCAGATTCAAAATATTTCTGTGATGTTTCAAAATCTATCTTGAAGATCACTGAAAAACCCAGTCCTGGCCCTTCAGTGTTCCTTTAAGAGGCGACAGCAATCACCAGTATTAGTAAAACCAAAGCTATTGGCTAAAAACAGGAAGTCCTAAGAGAGTTGTGGAAGGAACCCACTGAGACTTGCATGTTAGCTATAGAAGTGATTGCAGTTGCACCTTTTTTTAACCTAGAAATTACAAATAACTCTTGTAACAAAACATCTTTGAAATGTTCTTTTTCCCCTAACATAGCAATTCCTACTTCAACAAAAATCTCAAATGCTAAGCTTTCATTAGGTACAACTCTATCTAATGTACTCTTCAAGGAGTTCAAGTCAGTAATGGATGAAGCTATTCAATACCACCCTCTTGTAACCCTCTTAGACCCTCTTTCCTCCCTCCTGCAGTCCAGCATCATCAGCATCTAATTACGTATACTCCCAGCTTTAAAAGTTTGTAGCAGACACTGATGATACTGAGTGAAAACATATGATGTTACACTGTTTATAAATCTCCTTTTACAAAATTCCCTTTGTGAAGACCAGTGCAAATCCAGATTACATCCATCCCCTTCACGCGTTCGCACGCAGCCATGGCTGTTGGCCATAGTTCCACAACACCAAGCATTCAATGCAACAACGGCCAATGCTCTGCCAGCCTTTGGGTCCTACTCCCATGCCCAACACAGCATCTTCTTGGCGAGGTCTAGAAATATTTGGGAGGGGGCCCTACTGTGAATAGAGATTAGTGAACAGATTTGGGTCTTTCAGAAGCTGCTGCAGAGCCAAGAAAGAACACCCAGAAAGGGGCAATGCAAATGTTTAGACAATATTTGTCTCCTTTTAGCATGAGAAAATATCTGCATTTTTCTGCAGAAGACCAACTAGACATTCACAAAAGTAACCAAAGTAGACTAGAAAACTCTGAAAAAGCAACAAAGCACTTGGTTTTGCTTTCCAGGACGGACTACAATAAGTTGTTTCTACATCTTATATATAAAATTTTAGCAGTCTTTCAATGGAAACGAAGATGCACATATATGTACATACTGTATGGACTCTATTCCATAATGCATTTCAGACTATCTCACTGAACCAATTTAAAATTGACATCGGCCAGAAAAGAAAAATGTAACACAAAGGTGATTCAAGATCTATTTGTATAATGTTTCTTCTAATTAAAAATAAGGGCCCCTTTTCCAATGAAAGAAAAGCTCAAAAACTGCCCTCTGCCCTGAATCTCACTGCCTCTAACTGTACAAAGATGAATATCCAGAATAATCAATCATCCCCAATTGTCTGTCTTCCAGATCATGGAGCATGTAAAAACCAAAATCTCTGACTGCAGTTGCCACCCATAGTCCTTGGCCTGTCTACAGGGCTGGGAGAACCTAGGTAATGGAGGTCATCCACACATGTCACTTTTACCAAGCTTTCTAGTTTAGCAAACAGTACTTGGAAAATAATGGTAGCCCTTCAGGCTTTGTTCTTTCATTTTGAAATATTTTCTGCCTTTTTTTTTTCTGCTTTCAGGTATTTCTGTTTCTATTAAAAAGTCAACAGCCAACTACTGAGAAAAGAAAATTAGTCAAAGACCTTTGCAGGAGCCCCCCACTGACACAGCAAGATACATACTGAAAGAGACTGTTTCTGGAGCCCTTTTGTCTTATATTAATTCTCATGAGCTGTTACATTGGATTACATTACTTAGAGATGCAAAGGTAGCAACATCAAACTCATACACATCAAATGGGACAGTCTCTTCTCTTTAATAAGTGCTATCAAGACTTTCAAACTCTAAAGTAAAATTGAACAGACTCAAGCTGTGTTTCTTTCCTTGCCCTGATACCCTCTTCCATGGTATTTTTTCAGCAGACTATCTGATAGAGTGTTAAGTGTTTTGTGACTGCATCTAGGTAACTGTGCAGTAAGTCTACCTATTATTTTCCCTCTCCATCCTGACTGTCTTCTATAGAGCATATAGTAATATCTAAGTATTTGGTTGTCTTTCTGATCCATCAGAGTATTAAAATGGATAGGCATTGAGTCTCAAAGTCTTTTTGTGAGCAGATTTAATTCCTTGTCCCCCCCTGCAATTTCCCACTGAAGAATGTGCCAATTACTAATTAGACAGTCCACAAGTTTGCTAGCCATTCATTTACAAAAAGACACAGGGCACCCATTTTAATGCTGCAGTCATGTTTTAATCAAACACTAATCTTTAGAGGCCTTTGAAGGCATGAGATAAGCTCTCTTTGACAATCTGATTCTTAAAATAACTTTTTTGCTTTAACAGTTAACAGGTCAAATGAGAATGCAGCAGGCAAGTCATGGATTAAATAGCACCTTCAACAAACAGGACTCAGCAACATCAAGCAAGAGTCAGAAAGCACAAGCTGAGGGGGATGGGACAGTAAGCAGGACATACATCAACTTTTAAAGTTTGCCATTGTCCAATTGTTTTTGGATAGCGTGCATGACAGCGCAGGTCATCCACTGGAGCAGGCACCTTCAGACTAGGGGCTGCAATAGCTCAATGCCTCCTTGGAGCAGAAGTTCCATGAGGAAATGTGACTTGATCTAATTTTGGAATCTGGAAAAAAGACAAACATCAGGAAGGAAGTTTAAAAAAAGTTTAAGTCCTTTCAAAGAAAAAGGAAACTCAAACCAGATAATTCCAAATAGTAGCAAGTCAGCGTCAAACTGCTGTGACACGTCTCTTTGGGAACAGCACATAAGGATTGCTTGTCCCTTTCTGTACTAGTTGAGACAGGGAGCAGGAAGTCACTACTATCTTTGGATGGGTTTAGCCCAATGGTTTCCAGTTATCCCTGCATGTACTGGTAGTGCAGACCTGCATTTGTGTACCACACACATTAAGCTCTGCTGAGTTAGGTGTTCAGAGAGCTCCATTCAGTTTCAGACACTCCTGTCTATTGAACAACCTTCGTAACAGAAGGCTGGAGTACTCCAGACCCCACAGATGATTAAAGCTAACAGACAGGAGATCTGTCAAGAAAAGGAATTGTAACAGAGGAAACTACTTCCACATTTCTGGGATAAAGACACAAACCCCTAATTCCACATGAATTCTTCAGTACTGTGCATACAGCACTGCCAGCGAGTACAATCCTCTGTGGGTTCCTGCAGGACTACTTGGCCAATAGAGAGTACTTGATATAGCCTCAGTCATTACTTCGTGGAAGATCAGGACCAGAAGATCAGTCAGCTCCCCTGATTCACCTGGCAAACAGTCTCTGAGGGACTTGTTTGCTGAGTCATCATTTAACTTGATCAGTTTCTTAAAATTATTGGGAAATTAAATTAAGACTTTATTAGATAAGTCCCAGTTGTAGGAGAGTAAATCCTCATCATGCACTAAAATGGTCTAATTTACATTACAGAGATTCTCAGATGCATGATGGATGCATGTTGACCTCACAATGACCCTAGATGGCAAAGGTTTCTTCCCATTCTCACTTTGTTCTCCTCTCCTATTCCTCCTTCCCTCCCTCTCACCCCTCTTTTTCTCTGACAGCCCTGTAAACAAAACTGAATTTATTTAGACCCAGTGAAAGGGGGAAAATGGGCACAGCAAAAAGGGCTACCACCTCCTCCTTCCCTCATCTGTCCTCCTCCTGCACAGTGGCAAGTCAAACTGTATCAGTAAAGTCAGAGGAAGGAAAAGGAACAACACGAAGCACTTGTAAAACACCCATTCTGAAATGCCTGGTTCTCAAGGAAAGGTGCCTGAAATGTTAGAATTAGCAAACATAACTGAATGGAAAAGAATTCCAACGACTCATTCTAAAACGAAAGAACACTGGCTCTAGGCTCTAATCCTTCTATGTGTCTGAGACAGGCACAACTGTCAATGAGATTTAACATGTAAGGAGGGAGAAAAATCCACATACCAACCTTCTACGCACTGCCGTTACTAAACTTTAAGTACAACTTCTCCTATGAATGTATTCCATATATTTCAGACATTCATTTTACCAACAGTCTATCCTAAACCTCCTCTTTTGCTTTAATATGCCCCAATACTCCTGTGATAGATATTGAATTCATAAAGCAAACAAGGTCCAGCTGGGTAAACAACAAGTACAAACACACCTTAGGAAGTGGTTATTTATCCTAAATCAACCCTCAAACAACCTCATACCCTTATTCTTTGAATCAAGGTAGTGCTGGACACATTTCAGCAATACAAGCTATGTCTTCAACCACAAGTGCTAATTATCGAGATTTCAGCTGCTGCCTCTTCTCTTTTTAAAGTAATTTACCATTGTTCTCATACAGTCTACTGTTGTTAACTCACCTATGTTTTCAGCTGAGTAAAGTATCCCACACTTCCCGACCTGAGCTGCTACGCAGTATTGCTGTATGGTCTTTCAGGGAATGCAGCAGTGAAGCCCATCTGTAGTCATATTTCTGCATTGCCAAAGTTTTGTGCAACCATGATGCAGTCAATCTGTTAATATTCCCTCTGACATGTGCATGTCAGTGAAAAAATCTCTGCATCTGTAAAACACTTTGGCATCCCTGACAAAGAAGGACTCTATGCAAAGGTCAGGCTTTCTTCTTGAGCAAAAACATTTTAGGGTAATTTAAACAGACATGCAAGTCTAGCAATCTGGAAATTCTCACAGTTGCTGTTTGCTACCTAAACTGTGTGCTGCTTAGAGTCATGTGTGTTCACATGATCTGCTAAGCTGGGAGCTGAGGGCTGTCTCCTGCTCTTGAACTTTTTCCTCCTGCACTTTAAGATCTGCCCAGCAATGCTTTTATTGTGTAGTGCTGAGTACATGAGCATGCATGTAAAGGGCATGTGATGGCAGCTAAATGGTTTATAACTGTTCTGATCTTTATCAGAATTTCTTTAGGTATTGAAATAAATGATTACAATTTCAGGACCTTTTTTGTTTTCAAAAACCAGATCCTTTGGGTTTGGTCCATTAGAACTTAGACTGCACTTTGCCCTATACAGCAGCCACAGAGTAAAGGAACAGCATGTTCAATTTTCCTCTTCCCTAGATACAGGAATATGTATGTTGATTATCTTTACAGAGTATTTATATCAATTTTGCTTTCCCAGGACTCAATACACAGAGCATACCTCATACAGGCTATAATGTTTTCAAGAGTTATTTAAAGGCTTCCTGTGAGTAACAAACAAAACATGAAAGACATGAAGCTTACAAACTGAAATTCTGTCCAACACTATAGAGATGAGCATTTAGAAATATAAGTAATCATAGTAAGAAAAATATAACCTATAATAAGAACACTATAACCTATCAAAGTCCATAGGTCAGTCAGCTTTCTACTTCTGTGCTGTAACAGAAGCAGTGGCACCAGCATAGGGCAGTACAGGAGAATTGATGACTAGCTGGAATTAATGGCCCCAGGCCATGACTGAGGCAATCAACTCCTCCCATCTCCTCAGTAACCCCAGGAGATATAGTCTCCTCTGGAACATTAACATCCAGTTTTTTAGTAAAACTCTTTCTGCACAGAATTTTTGTGCTTAGACTATTTGGAGTACTTTATATACACATATGAGCAAAAATACAGTCAATTAGGGAGAGCACATTGGAGTGAAAAGCAGTATCAATGCCTTTAAGGCTAAGTTCAATGGGAACAAATGTTTTTAGATAGTAAAGAATGCAAGGGGGCTTGTACTGTTATCACTGGCTCTCTGTATACTTGAAGTGAGAGCTATACTGCATTAACTGCTTTCTGCTAGCCTTCCAGGTCTCCAGCTTCTTCAGCAAGTCTGTGCTTCACCCCTGCCCAACTGCTGTGTTTTGCAGCACCTCACACCACTACCCCTGCTATCACCACTGCTGTAAAAATGTCACGGAACTTCTTGGATAGATGCTAGGCACTTTCAAAATTGATTATAATGCATGTACAACAAAGATAATAACCACTTTAATCACCACTGCCATGAAGTTATTAGTACACTACAGATCTTACTTTTATGCCACTTTATTCCTTGGCACAGTCTCAGTTATGCTTCTTTTGTTCCTCACACAAGCAACTCCCTTTGCAAACACACACTGATTGCCTCTTGGCATAGACAGCAAACACATTATAAACTTTCAGCAGTTATACATGCAGAAAGTATTGACTGTTCTTCTCAGGTGAGCTCTGCAAAACTGCAAAGGACCTTTCAAATCTGCATCCTGGATGTTCTCTTCCTCAGAAAAGCACTGTTCTGAAGAATAATCCATTTGACTGAGATGCAATCTGGAATGTTGCCATGCACCACAGAAGTAATTCTTGACATGCATAGTGACAAATGAAATAGAGAGGTCTCTCTGACTGCTGAGTGCTACCTACTAACTCTCGGCAAGTTCAAACCTGCACTTACATTCAAATACCTCTACTAACATACAGCCTACCCATGAAGCATTCAGCAATCCAAAACACTGGCATCACATGGTATAAAAAATAGTGTGTCTCATGTGTTTAAGGCTCCAGATTGCTTGCTTGGTTATTGAACACTTTTGGTCAAATTCTACATCAAATGCATGCAAGGGCTTTCCCCCTGAAGCCCATATGGTCTGTGCATATAATCTAACTGAAGAGGACAAAGTTTTGATTTCTGCAGCCAAACCATGAAAACTTTCATGATTACATTTCATTTTTTAAAGGTCCTGAAAAAAACCTGTGTTTGTGTGTTCCTTCAACAACATGGATCCAGTACCAGAATACGGTACTGGCTGCAACAGTTAATTTATTATGTGTCAGTACAGCAAAAGTAGTAACAGACACAAACCATATTTGCCACCCTGTTGTTTCAGAACTGCCCACAGATTACTTTAATATTAAAGGATGTACCACAGTACCTCCCCACTGCAAAATGGAGCTGACAATTTTATCACTGCTTATCATGGCCTGGGGAAAATGATGCATTTGTGTGCAATTATCAGCTTTACATAGCCTTTCACGGTCTGCAGATTTTTTGTTGCAGTGACGGTGATGCTTCTGGGATGGTTAACTAACTTGCCCTCAAAAACAGATAAAAACTGAAATTGACAGAGTTTCTGGCAAGAAAATTTCTGGCAGAGGAAGCAAAGTAGGAAATGCAGTTCCTGATATAAAACAGCCCACTCTGTCTCATCTGAGAGAAGGCTTGCTGCCTGGGTATTTCTCAAATGAAAAATTGCCAGGGTTTAAAACAACTGAGGCTTTCCTACTATGAGAATTATGTACTTTACAGATCAAGATAAATCTTTACTAAAATATGAAAGTCAGTGTTTCAAACAGTTCCTTTCCTTCAGTGAGGTTACATTTACAGTTCAATGAGTGGACTTGGATTATAGGGTCCTTTTCCACTCAAACAGACTGAAAATATACATATGTATCACATAAGCAGTGTTCAACCACTGAACAAAAATTATGAGAGATGTCTCCCTGAAGGAATTACTCAGTCCCTCGAGAATTTTCTTCCATTATTCCTCACACCTTTCTTTTTGCCTCCTTCCTTCCTCCCACCACTCATCATCTGTCCAAGGAAAATAATGCCAGGTTATTCAATGGCCTTGTTATCACAAGAAGTTGTTATGGTACACTGGTAAGCTG